CCGTGCTGCGGGGCCATCGCGGACAAAGGCAGCGCGAGGTCCGCGCGCGCTCGGCCGGGCGACTGTGCCCGCGCGGCCGCGCTGTGGCCGAGCCTGCTCCGCCGGGCTCCGCGGCGACACCCGGCGGGCGGGGAAAGGGGCGGGTCCTGCGGCGCCTCCCGCGAGCCGAGGCGACAGCGCCCCCTTGCGCACGCCGGCCGCACCGACCCGCGCTGCCCCTCCCCGCCCCGCCTCCTCCTTCCCAGGCCCTTCTGCTCCTCCCCGGCTCCTCCAGCTCCCCGGCCCTTCCCCTCCTCCCCCAACCCTCCTGGCTCTTGCTCCTCCCTCTCCTTCTCCCCGTCCTCAGTTGCTCCTATTCTCTTTCTTCTCCACAGCCTCCTTCTTTCCCGGATCCCCCTCTCTCCCTGATCCCCCTGCTTCTTCCTCGCCCTTCCCCGGCGGCCCTTGCTTCTCCACATAAGCGGCTTGCTTTGGAGGGGCAGGGCGCTGTGGGCTCTGCCTGCTTTGCAGTCCCCCAGGAGGAGGGGTCAATGTCCTGGTCCTTGTCCTCTCAGTGAGCAGGACTTCAGTCTGAGTGCAGGCAGCTGTATGTTTTTCTGGTTTTTGTTGTTGTTTGGTTTGGTTTGTTTCCTTTAAGACGAAGGACACCCCCTTTGTTACAGCACCCTCCTTTGCCATGCCGTGACCTGTGTGCTCTCACGGTCCAGCAAATTTCCTTCCAGTCATTAGTTACCTGCAGTTTTGGCTGCGTCGGTACCATCTAAGAAGTAAGCGTTCTCTTTGCCTTTTGCTCTCCTTTCTCGGCCTGGTCAGGACCCTGATGCTTCTTCTGGCATAAGAAGAACTGTGCGCTATTAACGTCAACATTATTTTTCTGGTAGTAAAGACAAGAGCTAGTAAATATTGAGCCTTTTGATATGGACTAGACACTGTTATAACCATTCTGCCAAAACCAATTCCTTTAATCTCAGTATCACATATGCCCGTTTTACAGCCAGGGCATGCTGAGGCACAGAAATGTTAAAGTGACCGTCCTGAGTTCCTCGTAGGAGATGATGGTGCCAGGATTCTGGCTAGCATCCTAGATGGAAACGTTCGCAGTATGGGAAGGGAGACTTGCGAAGAGGGCGTGGCCACAGAAGCACAGAAGTGGATCTGTCAAGAGGTGAGCTCTTCGGTCCAGGACCCTGGCTGGCAGAGAGCATCAGTAGCTGTCCGGCCCTGAAACTGCAAAGCAAGAGAGGTTGAATTGGAACCCTAGGTCCCGGCCTGAAAACACCTTGAGAGCCTGGGGACCAAGAGTCTCCTCCACAGAATCTGAAGAACAAGAACAGGTCATCTTGGAAATAGATTAGAAACCTGCAACATTGTCTCCTGAAGCAGAATGGACTAGAGCAGAAAAACAGAACAAAACAAAACAAAAATAAAACCCTTAAGCCCAATCAGTCCTCTTTTGCCCGCAGGCTGGGCAACCTGAATTCCTCTGCTCTGGTAGATCAAGTAGACAGGTTTGAGTGTGTCTTCTGTCTTCTTCATGGCTGACACTACAGTAACACTTCCGTTTTGCAAAACCATTGCTGTTCCGTTGGTTTCCATGCCTGCCTGGCTGCAAGCTTTTGCTTGGCATTACTGTGAGGCCTGACAAGGTGGATACATGAAGCTATGTTTCTGTAAATGTTGCAAAAATGTTTATACTTTAACAAAAGTGGGCTAAGTCCATTGTCCTTTTAAGTGTAACCTCTTATCATATGAACTGGCCTCCAAGTGACTGTGAACATTTGGGGAAGCAAGCCAAAAACCATAAGCCTGGAAAGACATTTTGTTTATGTTTCATGGGACACAGAGCCAAAAAGGAAGGAGATGGAGGTGGCATGGGAGCAGTTTCTACTGGGTCAGCGGGTATCAAGAGCCCCTGGTGCCGGCACGGGCCTGAGTCTCTCCTGGCGCTGAGTAGGAGACACTTCTTGTCTTGTGACTGCAGACACTAGCCACCCAGGCGTGGGAGCAGCGGCCCTGGCTGGAACTGCCACCCTCTGAAAAGCATATGTTGGTGGGCTCAGCACACTCGGTCTGTCCCGGGGTCAGGAAGGAGTCTGAAGACAGGGGATACGATTGTCAGTGTTGGGGTGAATCCCCGTGTTTGTAAGGCGACAGGTCTGTAGTGATCCCATTAAGCACAAATTTCAGGTGTCTCTCTTGCTACTTTTCCTATAGGAAATTTATATCAAATTCGAAGGAGGAGTCGGAGAGCTGGTAGCTAAAAAGTTCAAGAAAAGGAGTAAGTGCTATAAAATTGTGTCAGACTGTCCGGTAAGAATACTACATTGTGTTAAAGTTCACAGCACTTTTAGTGTTTTGTTTTGGTGTGTGTGTGTTTCTTGTTTCTTTCTTTTTCTTTTTTCTTTCTTTCTTTTTTTTTTTTTTTTTTTTTTTTTTTTTTTTTTTTTTTTTTTTTTTTGAGACAATGTTTCTCTGTGTAGCCCTGGCTGTTCTAGAACTTACTCTGTAGACCAGGCTGACCTCAAACTCACAGAGATCCTTCTGCCTCTGCCTCCTGAGTGCTGGTACTACAGGTGTGTACCACCATGCCTGGGCCAAAATTCTAGTTAAGTTCTGATCTCCACAGGGCCCTCTTGCCCAGCTCTGCACATCGCTCCCGGCCCTAAAGGCCCCTTGTGACATCTTCATGGCGCTGAGCTGCACATGTGTCATCTTGCCGGCGTGGCTGATTAGGTGCTCTAAGATATTAGAGCCCAGGCTGGCGGTCCCCACGCTCTGTCAGGCTTCCTCATGTCCTAGGACCCATCAATACCAGCCCGTACTCTCCTTTTCCACTGAGACGCTGTCTGAGGAGAAGCAACAGTCAACAGGCTTTGCAAGAGAAGATGGGAAAGTCACAGGAATGACCCCAAGCTGTGGTCAGAGCATCTGGTTGGGACTAGTGCAGAGTCACAACTGCCGGTGTCATGGGGAAGGATTCCGACCCAGGGCCCAATTTGTGAGCTGACTTCTCACCTCCAGACATCCTATTTCACCCACCACCCCTTGTCAATAGTTACAATTAATAAATTAACTCTCATTAGGACATAAAGTTCAAAGTGTAAAAATCAGTCATTAATGTTGACTTGCAAGAAGCATATTTTTAAAAACATTTGTCCTAGTTTCACCCTCGGATGAGATATGCTGTGTTGTGGTAATAAACTCTAAGCCTCATTGTCTAGGAGTCCAGGGGTTCACTTTTTGGCCATGCTCCGGAGGACAGCATCCTCCCGTGTGCTGACTCGGGAACCAGCCTGCTCATATCCATGAATTTCCCTCGGTGATCAGTGCACCGCTGTGCCTTCCCATAACCGTCAGACAACTAAGTGTCCAAAGCAGGAAAATGTGACGGCTGTGAAGCTTCTTACAGTGTCCAGTCAAGAAATCGGCCAACAGGCTAGGATGTGGTCCATGAGGATCGTGCTGTCCCTCAACTATGAGAAGC